GATGCTGATGATGATGATGATGATGATGATGATGATGATGATGATGATGATTATGTTGGTGATGATGATGGTGATGGTGATTGCGTTAACCCTTCTATGGGGAGTCAAATATCATCCAGTCATCATTTGGCATGAAACCTCCTCGGCTAAACGTGAAAGGAGCACTGGCTCATTGTACGGCAAGGTTCCTGGAATCATACTTCAACCCAACTGACCGAGAAGTTTATGACGAACCATCTTCTCGCTCACCGAAGAATTAACGCTCAGAAGAAAGCCGTCTTTATCATCTTTCTTCATCTGAAGATTGAATATGATATTCCAGCTTGTTACATTCCTTCTGTCAAAGTTTCTTCTGGTCAGTATACCCAAATTTGAAAAAAAACAGTAATGTATTGAAAATCAAGAAACAATTACCAGCTAAGTCCCTGACATCACAGTTTGAAATAATCTGTCTACGGTTCGGTGCTGTACTTCAGTAATGAACTTCTCCAAAAACCCACCAAGGTCACTTAAACGCGTGATCACATCAGAAACATTCGTTAACTCCGCATTTATAAAAGACCGGTTAGTTTATCTTCAGACATGGGTTCCTGTAATGTGTATAAGGAATGGTGATTTTTCTATGGAGAGATTGAAAGACAAAATGGATTTAGAAAGCCGTGACCGCTCGATCAAAACAGTAAGAACAATAAGTTTGCTCGAGGATGCTTACTGCGTACACTGTGGTTCCCCGTAAAGCGTATAAAATAGCATAGGATACCTAACCTAATCTGCCTGGTAATATTTGTTCAAGTGTAAAACAACGTAACCGATCAATAAAACTAGGGCAGTGATACTTTGGTCTCTTTGACCTCAGAGAACAGATTTAAAACGATTGATCAATTGGGTCCCCGGGGTCTCCAGATTCTGTGATTGCCTACTTTGTGCTAAGACATGGAATGATGAATAAGGCTCATCTTGTGTCACGTGAGGGATATGAAGCTATAAATTCTGAACACAACTGATAACCCAGTCTGTTGAGAATGCGATCCCGAAAGATCACATTGCATTTACTCAGCATATCTACACCGAATTCACACATGCAATCAATGAAAGAGCACTTCAGGATGAAAAAAGTGAAACTTGAATATGAATATAGAATATTTTGACTGCATAGCCGCCATGTAGTTCGAACAAGGCACCGGAAATGAGATACTACCAGCGAAAGGAAGAAGGCCTTTGCTGCAATGTTATTCATTAGGAAATGCCAACTGACCGGTTACAGACCATTTGGACAGGAAGCAAAACTCTCATTTGCATCTTATTTATAAAAACTGGACGTCCATCTTCTCCTGAACGCGTCTTCTTGAACTTTCCCGGATATTCATTGCTCGAATCCAAGCAAACGCAACAAGCGACTCCACAAATTCCGCAATAGATCTCCCTTTTCAAGAGACGCAAAGCGAAATTTCAGGAACAACACATACTACTCGCATGCCTCCCCATCAGTAGTCTCACCGTTTCACCAGGTTGCTTAGATGGAAACAGTCGGGTAGCCAAGTGTGGATTCTAACCACGGACTTTCCAGGGAATGCTTTGCAACCTAAGCAATGAGCTATCTCGAACTCTCGTTATCGCCATTCTGTGCAAGTGAAGATCGAAATAAATACAAAGAAAAGCAACTCTTAGTCTTTTCTGACATTCCGTCAGCTCACACATTTGTTCACTTGAACAAGACCGCCACGGTCACTCCCAAATTACCCCTTTTCAAGGTGACGTTTAAGGACATGCTCGTGAAAGCGAATCGCTCAGCTGTGGCACCCTTTCTGTGCCTAGCTGCCACGTCACCAGAAGGAAGCACAAGGACTGGGATACTGCCGGGTTGCTCAATCCTAGACAGGAGAAGTCGGAAGGCAGAGGTCTGGTTCGCGCTCTAACCACTGAGCCCCCTCGCCCCTGTTTCTGATACACGGTTAGCAATATTTAAAAACGACAGCTCGCCGTACAAAAAATACATAAGATTTTCCAGTGAGTAGTCCTCTCAAGTCCGAAATTTCTCATATTATTTTATGTCCGGCAATAACAACAAACAGATTGGATGGCGACTGCATGACAACGCAACCTCAAAATCTTCAATTTCGAACGACAGTTAGACGGAGATTCGTCCTGTGAGTGAAGCTCATTTGGGCCGAAAAGCCGAGAAGCACTGTACCGCTGTTTCATTCTTGTTGCGAACCAGCAGTAGTGCGCAGCTCACAGGGTTTCCAGCCCGACATTTCCCGGCCAGTGGTTGAACATTTAAACGTTTGACTACCAGTGGCTGATCAACAGAGTGATTAACTCTCACCTATTCATGACAACACCATTCATCCTTCAATTACAGAAACCACATCACGTGGTCACGTATTAGACTGACTACTCGATGATGAATTCCTCAGGAAGACTTGAACTCATCTTGTGAAATAGTTCTTCTTCCTCTGATCTATTTAACGATTGCTGTTCATATTGGAAGGTTTTGTATTTTTAAACGGATATCTTGTCCTGTCTGTCACCCTCACATGGCTCAGAGCAAGAATAATTTCACAGGATGAGCGAAACTTCCAGATGAGAAGTCCTCACTCGAAGAGCCAGTCAATATATGACCACGTGATGTGGTTTCCGTCATTTAAGGACGAGTGGCGCCATATTTTGTCCAGGTGATCAGCCACTTATGGTCAAACGGTCAGGCGTTCAACCAATGAACGTGTGGTCACGGGTTTAAAACTCGCCGAGTCACGTGAAATACGCAATACTGATGTTTCTCAATAGGGATGAAACCGCTCTACTACAGTGCTTCACGGTTTTTCGGTAAAGACTAGCTTCTCCATCGAAGATGGTCAAATTTCTTCAAATCATCACCATCAGGTGAATGGCGAAAGCAACTTTGTTTAGCGCGGTTTTCTGTTGGACTTCCAACTACTGGGAAGATTAATCGCAAACGGAACCATGGCACACCGCGTGCTTTAAATTCTCTTCCTAATGTTTCTTCGACGTTAAATTCCTAGGCGGCCATTTTAAAATCTACAGACTTGACTAGAATAGATTTATCTGGAATACCGAGCACAGCAACCGGAATACTTCCACTAACGGAGCTACTTTGACACGCAAAAGTACATACCAGTAAAGAAATTCTATCGCTCAGATACTCGGAGGCAAACCAAAATGATCTAGGTAACATTCCGGGAGTATCTTACGTCTGTATTACAACAGCACTTCAATATTCTTCAATTTTCTAATTCAGTTTGTCCTCTTTCACATTGCTCAACCATTCCATTGTTTTTGAATCATCTGTTTTAAGACCCTGATACATTGTGTGCGTCAGACAGACGGATGTGTTCTAACTTTAAAAGTTCTTGAAAAGTGTCTGTTTATTCGCGTACGATAAATACATCGCCACCTATTTATCGTGAATACGGATTTGTTAGTCGGGGTCTGCCTCTATCCAACATAATGTGATTACGACATGAACGTTGTGAGATCATAGTATGTGTCTGCACACGGAAGGTCGGCTCCTGGGCATATTTAATGCGGTATCATCATCATCATTATCATCAACATCATCATCCACAAAGATAGCAACATCAGTGTTGGCACTGATACTTCACTGCCGTATAACAATAAGGTTCGTCTAGTTATATATATATATATATATAACTGTATATACATATGTACCACCCACAAACATGATTAGGAGATCAAGAACAACTTCCTTGAAGCAAGTCTAGATATACGCTCTAGAAAATCTGGGACAATGTACAAATGTTGTTTCAAGGGGAAAATATATCTGTTGAACTCACACAGTGGAGCTATTTTGTGCACAACGCTAGAGATGGTACTCACACAATGTCCTTGAAACCAATGACTATCCATAACGAATGATGTCGTTTTGTGTGGGACCGTATGACATCTTGCTATTCCATTGACTGGGAAACGGCAACTTCTGAGCGGTGGATAATACGGACGATAGCGAAAAGGTTCCTGGAGTAGTTGCATCTCCCAACAGAACTGGAGAGTAGGACGTATGATTTACAAGTGCGGGAGCAGCGTGGTCACAGCCGTTCCGTGTGACGTCTGAAAAGTAATCACCACCAATCAATGCCATTACAGGCGGTTGGTCGAGGAGATGCGTCTTCATCAACGAGTCATCTGGCCTCAGTTGTGGTGTTACCTTTTGCAATCTTTGTGAGTCTTGCCCCTTGTTTCTCGATCGATTCCGGCTCAACGCAAATATAATGGCTGCACCAGCCGCAACTGATACAACTCCAAGACAAGCTAGTAGTATAATTATAGTTTTAAATCGATCGGGGGAGAACGCGATCCAGGGGAAAGAGCCATGCCCTTTCTGGGTTGCAAAATGAACTCGTTTCTGATCGGTAGTCGAAGATGGAGACATTGGCGTGTTGTTCACGTTTGGAATCAGTCCGCTTTGTTTGACGACAACATATCCAGAAGTTTGCAGTTTTCGCGCAGTTCCATGATCGTGTACGATTACACCAAAAACATATTCTTGAGTCATGCTCAAATATGACGTCCACAGTCTTACTCTTCCGCTATCGTAAAGGTGAAACGCGCGCACAGGTAGTGGAGATCTACCTTGAGTCACAAACTTTGGTAGTTTTTCCCAACCGAGTTGAGCAAAAGAGAGTTTGCCATTCTCTCCTTGATCTGCATCCGACGCTTTCAAGTCAGTGATCAACTCAGACACAGCTCCAGGAACTGCAGTCCACAAGGGTTGCAGAGCAACGGGTTCACCAAATTCTTGTCGACCGCTTTGTGTGTGCCATCTTGGGGGGTTGTCGTTGACGTCCAAAACGCTTACTCGAATTTCTTGAAGGCTTCTACGTCTCTCCACTTTTCCACAGTCCTCCAGCGAGATACGGAGCAAGTAGGCGGAAACCAGTTCTCGGTCAATTAGCCGGTGGTGTTCTCTAGGGAGTGTTACCTGTCCGGTAGTTGGATCTAATCGGAAGTTTGGTAAAGGTATTTCAATCACATCCGCGTCGTGCCCTAACAACACTGACAACGGCCGTAGTGACGGCGCGGATGAGAACGCTCGCTCTGCCGTAACGCTGTCCAGTCGAAATATCACGGTCCCATTCTCCCCAGCATCCGGATCTTCCGCAGTGACTGCGCCGATCTTTTGAGGATACACCAGCTGATCCGTGTATATCTCGGAGTAGCTATCCCATTCAATGACGGAGAATCCTTTGTGAAGCAGACTAGGAGTCAGTTTTGGGGAGTTATCGTTGATGTCTGTCACGGTGATGTGAATGTCCGCCGTCGCGGAAAACACCAAACGATCACCGTCTGTTTCGGTTGCTTGAAGAGTACAACGAAGGAGAGGCGCGATCTCTCGATCCAGGCCATAGGGAGCGGCGATCGCACCCGTCTCTGTGTCTACAAACAGCTGCTTGCATCCTTCATCCGAAGCTGTGTAAGATTCATCTGGAGGGGCGGGATTCGGTGTGGTCTTCCATTCATAACGGACTCGCTGTGTGATATCTTGTAATTGTGGTCGAACAAGGTCATTTATCGGTTCAGCTGTTTCTTCTAACGTCAACTGATAAAGTGTTTGTTCAAAGCACATTTCAGTAGTATCTGTCAGTTTGATCTTTAGCTGAATCGATGAGGTCAAGCGATAAGGTTCTCCCTGATCGTTGCACGCAATCACGAGTGTACCAACCGGATGCTTTTTCTCAAGGGAATCAAGGGATGTCCCCATAGTGGTGAGTGGTCGATCAGCTTGGAGCATAAACAACTGTTTTCCTGAAACCAGTCCTGTACTGACCAGGGCGAATCGCAGATTGAACGCTCTCTCAAGCTCATCGTTGCCTGCTTGAATCTGACAATCCACCTGGGCGTTCTGACCGAGGTCAGCATCGGAAACAATGAATAGGCAGAGGTGAGCACCAGATTCCACCGCATACGGGACAGTCAGCTCAGTCGGATCTAGATTGGTTCGCTGGCACCCGGTTCGCTTCACTTCAATCTCCGGAGCGTGGTTGTTTGTATCGGCAATTTGGACTGTCAGACGCATGGAGGCAGTTCTTCTTGGAACCCCGTTATCTGAAGCAAGAATGATGGTATCCAGGGCAGTTGGATTGCTGGCAGGCAGCGTCCGAGTGAGGCGAAGTTCACCGCTGTCTGGATCGATTTTGAAAGGAGATAGATGGCTTTCGGTTGATGAGGGAAGGAACTTTCCGTCTTCAACGGAGTCCAGACGTCGCCTGGGCGAGTCAAGCAGACTATAGGTGATTCGACCGGCCTCCGTGGTGTCTTCATCAGTGGCTTCGACTTTAATCAGGAGGGCGCCAATCGGAGTGGCTTCAGACACCGTGATAATGTGATTGGGTTTCGGGGGATATACAATAACCGGTGGGTTGTCGTTGACATCTTGAATCAATACGTGTAAAGGAAGGATATCACATTTCATTCGAGTTAGTTTCCGACCACATGCTCTCAAATTCAGGGGATACATCTTATCTTTCTCGTAGTCCAGAGCGTGTTTCACAACGAGATAGACGTTTGCTGAATTGGCTTCAATACCAAATGGACTAGATGTACTACTACCAACAAGTGTTGAATTATTCTCAAGACTGTAAGACACCTGTGCGTTGATCCCCACATCCGGATCATAGGCTGCAGGCAGGGGGTGCCTAAATCCCACAGGGACATCTTCGCTAATCCGGAGCGTTTGTGCACCAGTCCAGCTGCTGGATAGTCGTTCCAAGAACACCGGACCGTTGTCGTCGATATCTTTGACTTCGATTAGTATGGAAACCCAGTTTTCATTGGTCGAATCCGCCGACCTGCATACGGCAGCAAATTCCAGAAAACAGCTGTCCTTCTCAGCCCTGTTGGATGAACCACCGGTAAGACACAATGTTTCACGATCCAGTCGAGTATGTGTGTACAATTTACCAGTCTGCGGTTCAAGTTTGAACAGTTCGGTCGGTCCGGAACTGAACCAAGAACAATGCAAGTCCCCGGTGCCTGTCTTGTTGACATTGCTGCGGAGCTGTTTCAACCAGTTGTTGTCGGAGATGATGTTGCCAACAAGAGTTTGCACAGGCACCTCCTCACTGATTACGTAGCGGAGATGAGCAGTTCTGTTTGCGAGAGCACTGTTCATTAGAGTCAAACACATGATTGTCAGGCACGCGGTTCTAAGCTTGGAAAGGTTATACTTTGTCAGTGGAGCCACACTCATGTTGGATATCCTTTACTTGCTGACATCACTTCCGTAAGAAGCAGACGGAAGAGTGCCAGCACTCCGGTCGACTTTACCTGATATCCACATTTTTGTGGCATACTGTAAACCGTGGTTGGACAACGCCTCATGCGCGTGCGTGCGTGCGCGTGCGCGCGTGAACGCAGGCTTAAATCGACCAATCAAGGGTTGCCTAAATAGACTCATCGTTTGGCTGCGTTTTCCATGTAATTCTGCTAGAAACGGGGAAATGATGGAGAAAACTGTCGAAAGTGACACTTATTCACCTAGAGTTCCAGTTGATTTTAACTATCTGTGTCACAGCTCGTTTTTTTCAGCCGCGTTTTTGCTCTGTAAGCGAAGTTAATCTACTCCGAGAAACCTAAAAGCAGTGCGGAGCTGTTTCATTTGGACTCCCCACACTCCTAAGGAATTGTGAGCAAATCCGAGGGAGAAATAATTCACAACCTTCCCCGGGGAGTCTGGCGACACGTGGTCATTGGATGTTAATCACGTGATTGAACGATATTAGGTATTCTGTCGAAGCACGCTGACCTTAAGTTCCGTTCTGTCGTAAGGCCTTGCCGGTTGGCAGTAGTTCCACGTTCCAGTCGAACAGTACCTCGGGAGGGAACCTTGTCAGAACTTACGCAGCACAGTACGCTGTCGAAGCTAATCAGTGTAACGGTGTATACTACTGATGGAAATGCTAATAGCCTCAGGTGAGATATCAAAGCGCCGTTCCCACATCTAATGGAGGCTGAAGTTGGCACAAAAGTTATAGAATCACTTTGCGGCGTTTGCGTCCTGGAATGTTCAAGTAAACCCCTACGAACATTCATCTTTCAAGAAGTGTGTGCAAATGAGATTCTTACTTTTATGTCTGACGGCTTGTAACCGATTATTCCGTGTTCGTCAACAGATGATTTCTCACTAACTGGATTTCTTTCTTTTGGTTTGTTGATATACAATCATCGGAATACGCTAATGCCAAAACAAAGGCGTCTGGCTTTGATGGTTTTAGTCACGTGATTTTGTATTACTGAAGTCTCTTTGTTTCGTTTTCTTGCTAACGCCTTCCCCCAATCAGACTGAATTTTTGACGCCTCACGGCAGAACAGAAGAGAAACAATGCCGGTACGTACAACGATCTGTGTTCTACAGTAAAATTTCCGATGTTAACCTAGTGCCTGGCCTAAAAATGATGTCGCCCAAGTGGATTTTGAAATGTTCCAGTAAGGCACAATGGCAAGGACTCTGTGCAAGGACACGGCGTTTCATGCCTACCTCGTCAGCCCTAATTCTAAATGTAACCAGTCCGTTGAATGCTATCCGAGTGGATTGAACATGGAGTTAATTTTTTTGAACAGTTCTTACAGTTTCAAGAAAAACTATCTATTTTCTTCGGTGACCGTCTATCGACACAGGTTTACAGATGGTGGACGCGTGTTTGCACCTGACAAGTGAGGTGAGAACTATCGTCATCTCGTACTTTTTCTGTTTGCTACCCAGCGACAATTTTTCCTCATATTTTAAAGAGTACCCTTTATTTGCACAACACTTGTCATCGAATTTCATACGAAATTCACATACGACGGTCTACCATTTTGTCCCGATGAAGCAACGAAATTACTCAACCGGATTGTATTAAGTTTCGTCCTGACGGTTACGAACCGTCGAAACGTAAAGTGAGTTCGTGAAAAATATGCAGACGGCTGACAGTTTAGTTGAAAAACATGTCAAACTTCACCGAGACACATTTTCAAACTTATTTGGCTTTGTGAGAGACTCATCTGGAATCAAGCTGAATCTTCCATTTGTGATGTTTCCAGGCAACTGAGTGTGCTGCACCAAACCGCTTCATGTTTCAGTCGCTACGATATTCGAGATATCGCGATACATGTATAGGCGTAACTCACTACTCAAAATGTTGCTGAAAATTCTTTGACACCCAACGACCGGTTTCAACCTTCCACTTTGGGCTCATCAGGTAGGCGAAGTCCCCGAGTTTCCGTCAACCTTTCGTTCTGTCTGAAACCAGATTGCACGAAATTAGCGAATATACACTCATTTGAAAACAAATTCGTTTTTGCGAGAGACTCACCTGGAACGCATATGGATTTCTCGTTTGTGCTGATTTCAAGTAATTTAGGTTCAAGTACAACATAAAGTTGGCGGAAACGCGAATACTGCGCCTACCTTTTAAACACCGAGTGCAACGTCGAAAGCGGTCTTAGGCTGTCGAAGAGTTTTCAGCAAAATTATGAGTAGTGACTAAATCCAATTTGCATTTGAACTGGCCCATGTGATCAGTTTGTGTTTTTCAAAAAATATTGAATTCAATAGTCTCTGTGGCCCGTAATGCAAGGAATCCTAAATAAAACTAAGGATAACAGTGATTAGCTCTCACTTCGACAAGATACAGTACAACTCATTCTTCAGTCACGGAAGCCACATCACGTGGTCACTTGCTGATTGGCTGCTCGAGTGGTGACTTCTCAGACGGGAGTTTCACTCATCTTGCGGAACTCTTCATCCTATGAATCACTTATTAATTGACAATTGCTCAGAGGAAGAATCATTTTACAAGACGAGTGAAAGCTCATTCGGAGAGGTTATTAGTGCACAGGTGATGATAGCCATAATACAAATCAGAAGGTGTATGCACTAATAAAAGTTTTTTTGTATGGTTGACAGTGGTGGGTTTCGACACGTATAAAAATAAATACAATGCGAAAATAGGAGCAAGTCAAAAAAAAGGAAATTATCGTATGAGAGAGACCCTTGGTGAAAGTCCGGACGGCGGGAACATGTTTTCTCCGCAGTTTGGCCGCTACACGTGTTCCATGATTGTCCGTGGACTTGTGGAGAGGTTGACGTCTTGCTCCCTGCGCGCGCGAGACTGTGTGTCTTGACTGGGTTCGGTTTGCCTTTATGTAGGTCTCGGTGCGTGTATGTGGATGCGTCGGCACATGTATGTTTGCTACGCTGACTAGGCGGTGCAGACGCGATCAGTCAGCTTAATGTGACGTGGTTTGCGAGTATGAAAAAAAAGACAAGCCTCGTGATCCAGTGAGCGATTGTGAGCTGAACAGTCAAGTATGTGGGGTCACCGGGAATCTACAATTCCTCTTTTCACCGACACGTTACAAATGAGAGAACGCTAACGCGTCCTTTTGTCCGACGATATCAGACGATTGAGTCTGTGAACTACGATACAGCTACGGACCTTGGTCGGCTGTCGGCGACGGTCCGCCAAGGAGAACCGGTGCAATATTAGATCAGCCGAGCTGTAACTTTAGCCACGAATTCAGAATTAACAGCCCATAGTCTTCGAATTTAATCAAACTTGTGGCTTATTTGTGCACAATTCCACGTCTATTCTACCTGGTAGTCAGGCCAAAGTTGGATCTGGCCGGTCCATGTAACCAAAAGACTCTGATCATCCAAATTCGATAATTTACAACCAAACAAGCTAATGTGGATCGGCCGGGTCGGGCTTTTTGTATGTGTGTCTGGCTTATTCAGGGCATTCTGAATTGCGTTGATTGCTGTGAAACCTAAGGCGTATTCGGAAATGCCAACTGGGACTACTTGACTTGCGAGTGAAGTAGTATATAACAAAGGTCGAAAAGCATTGTATAATCGCAGATTCACTTACAAATATAATTGATTACCAGCCATTTTTCCAGTAGCCAATGGGAAATGAGTGAAATTCCTGTATGAGAACTCGTCACTTAGTCTACACTTAACCACGAGATGGATACTCCCTGAGCGGGGCCATATTCTGTCAGTCGCTCGTGAACGAACAATTACATCTTCAAAATACCAGCCAAACGTCTTCGGGCAGAGAGACTCTACTGCGGTTTCGTCAGATGCGCACTGCTGATGATTCCCAACAAGGATGAAACATGAAGGAAACTACTCACAAGTCGCTGAAAACCCCTCGACAGCCCACGACTGGTTTCGCCCTATCTTGGGGCTCATCAGGTAGGCGCAGTCCCCGAGTTACCGTCAACCTTATATTCTACTCGAACCCAAATGGGACTGTTTTCGACACTAATTTGCAAATCAATTTGGTTTTCGCGAGAGACTCAACTGAATCTCTCGCTTATGAGTTTCCTTCATGAAAATATACTGCGACATCTCGAATATCGTGCCAACTGAAACATGAGGCGGCCTGTGTGCAGCACATTCAGTCTTAGAATATCATAAAAGAGAGATTCACTTGAGTCTCTCGTGGAAACCAACTTGATTTACAAGTGAGTGTATTTCTCCAAGGATGAAACAGTCATGCACTACAGTGCTTCTCGACTCTGGAGCATTGATGGTCTTCACTTTCAAGTCGAAATCACGGCTGAACAGTCCCAGATCTCTCAAATGGGGGGGGGGAGATGGCTCAAGTGGTTAGAGCGCGAATTTACTGACCGGAAGGTCCGTGATTCGAACCCGACCTCTGCCTGTCGACTTCTCCTGTCTAAGCTTGAGCAACCTTGCAGTATCCAAGCCCTTTCCTTCTTTGGGTGGCATGGGACGGTGGTAAAACAGAACGATTATGTTTCGTGTATCATCGCGACTACCTAAACTCTCCATTATTCATTAAGACCCGTGGGATTCTAGGTGACTACTACGTGACTACTACGTGGCCTCTAGCTGTGGGTAAAGCTGGTCGGGTTGGTTAGCCATCAAAAGTTGCTTGATCGATCGGCGGCCGACCTTGAATTGTGTGTGCATGTCTACTGGCCATGTGCGGCGTTCTGTCTCTGACCTTCGTTCCAACATGAGGCATAAAGTACACGCTGCCGGCTTACATAGTACAGAGTGCCAGTTTTTTAGGGTACGCGAAATGTGCTCAGACCTAAATGATGTGAATCCACTTGTTGGATTGGGGTAGAAAGGTCTCGTTCCCACACACATAGTTGACATGAATCCTACTGGAAAAGAGATATGTCTCGTAAAGAAAAATGGTCACAAGGTTGCTGAAAACTCTTCGACAGCAC